GGACAGACTGTCCCCGGACCTCTTCTGAAGGCTGGGGGGGGGGCAAGGGCTTTTCTTCCCACCCCCAGCATTTTAAAAAACCCTGGGACAGCGGAGGACTTCTCCGCTGTCCGGGCGATCTTAAAATGCTGGCGGGCGGCATTTTAAAATCGCCCCGGGACAGCGGAGGACTTCTCCGCTGTCCGGGGCGATTTAAAAGCCCCTGGGAAGGCAGGCAGGGGGGACAAAGACTTTCGCCCCCCGCCCGCCTTCAGAAGGTGTTCCCGCCCCCCCCCCGCCCGGCTTCGCAGCAGCGCTACGAAGCCCGGCGGCTGGGGCAGGTGTTCCCGCCCCCCCACCCCACTTCGGAGCAGCGTTCCGAAAGCGGGGTGGCTGGGGCAGGTGTTCCCGCCCCCGCCCGGCTGCGCAAGCAGCGCTACGGAGCCCGGTGGCTGGGGCAAGTGTTCCCCCTACCCCGCTTCGGAGCAGCGTTCCGAAGCGGGGTGGCTGGGGCAGGTGGTTCCCGCCCCCCGCCCGGCTTCGCAGCAGCGCTACGAAGCCCGGTGGCTGGGGGCAAGTGTTCCCGCCCCCCCACCCCGCTTCGGAGCAGCGTTCCGAAGTGGGGGGCTGGGGCAGGTTTCCCACCCCCCGCCCGGCTCGCAGCAGCGCTACGAAGCCCGTGGCTGGGGCAAGTGTTCCCGCCCCCCCCACCCCGCTTCGGAGCAGCGTTCCGAAGCGGGGTGGCTGGGGCAGGTGTTCCCGCCCCCCGCCCGGCTTCGCAGCAGCGCTACGAAGCCCGGCGGCTGGGGCAGGTGTTCCCGCCCCCCCCACCCCGCTTCGGAGCAGCGTTCCAAAGCGGGGGGCTGGGGCAGGTGTTCCCGCCCCCCCTACCCCGCTTCGGAGCAGCGTTCCGAAGCGGGGTGGCTGGGGCAGGTGTTCCCGCCCCCGCCGGCTTCGCAGCAGCGCTACGAAGCCCGGCGGCTGGGGCAGGTGTTCCCGCCCCCCACCCCGCTTCGGAGCAGCGTTCCGAAGCGGGGTGGCTGGGGCAGGTGTTCCCGCCCCCCGCCCGGCTTCGCAGCAGCGCTACGAAGCCCGGTGGCTGGGGCAAGTGTTCCCGCCCCCCCACCCCGCTTCGGAGCAGCGTTCCGAAGTGGGGTGGCTGGGGCAGGTGTTCCCGCCCCCCGCCCGGCTTCGCAGCAGCGCTACGAAGCCCGGTGGCTGGGGCAAGTGTTCCCGCCCCCCCCACCCCGCTTCGGAGCAGCGTTCCGAAGCGGGGTGGCTGGGGCAGGTGTTCCCGCCCCCCGCCCGGCTTCGCAGCAGCGCTACGAAGCCCGGCGGCTGGGGCAGGTGTTCCCGCCCCCCCCCCACCCCGCTTCGGAGCAGCGTTCCGAAGCGGGGTGGCTGGGGCAGGTGTTCCCGCCCCCCGCCCGGCTTCGCAGCAGCGCTACGAAGCCCGGCGGCTGGGGCAGGTGTTCCCGCCCCCCCCCACCCCGCTTCGGAGCACCGGGAGAAGCGATCTCCCCGCAGCCCCTTGCTTCAAAAGAGGTCCGGGGGCAGACCTCTTTTGAAGCAAGGGGCGGTGGGGAGAAGCGATCTCCCCGCCGCCCCTTGCTTCAAAAGAGAAGACCCGCTGTCCCCGGGGCAAGCTTCGTTTTGCGAAGCAAGCCCATAGGGAAATTCGTCTTGCGAGGCAACTCGAAAACGAAAAAACCTTTCATTTTGCGAGTTTTTCGTCTCGCGAGGCGGTCGTCTTGCGGGGGTACCACTGTAATTGATGGGAGTTATGGCCCTTCAAACGCTTTTGGACTACAAGCTAGCTACCTCTGCTTTTAAAGAGAGCTTCGCATCACAACACAGTCTGCTTTGGATGCTTCCAGATGCAAAAGATGGCTGCTTATGTGCTATCTAATGAAGCTGACCCAGTTTTATAAATGAAGTAGATTGAACTTATTAGTTTCTCTGTTACAGCAGTGATGTAGCATTCCTTGAAAACGAGGCAGTTCCACTTAAAGCAGCCTGCCGCACAGCATTACTTACAGTCTGTCTGAGCCTGTTACTTAACTGCAAGATGTCTCAGGCTGTGGATTAGTCCTTCAAGGAAAGTAGAGAGAGCCCTGCTGCTTTAATCATTTAAAGCTCCACCAGACAACACCATGGAAGAGTGTTCTGCGGGGAGCAATTCTCCTCCTCCCAGCCAAGGAGATCACACCAAGCGGTCTATAGCCACACCTTTGTCAGCTTCTTCTGGAGCTAGGCACGGCTTATTTTAAGCAGCTGGTGTGGAAAAAAAACATCAGATGTTACTGGCATTGCAGAAAGTACTTTGGGAGGCTTTCAACTAAAGCTTCATTTTTTTATTAGCAGAATAATATAGAACCACTGACTCACTTGAACCAATAAATAGCACTTTTGAAACATAAGCGGTTAACTTTCCAATGTTCTGTTTTATTTGAATTTCTACTTGAAGGCATAGGATGGGTGACAACTAAGAATTGCAGCAAGACTCTTTACATTTACATTTTCTTTAATTAAATCAACTTCCCTCCCCCTTTTAATAACACCACTCCCAACCTTTGGTGTGCTGAGAATATTGAACTGGGGACTCTGGCAGCAAGGCTCTCTATCCCCATTAAAGGTTGCCAGCAGGAAGAGCCACAGGCTCGCTGTCCAGTGTAACAGTGCAACTGTGCAGAAGGAGGTAGTGCTGCCTCAGTGGCTCTTGGTTGGCAATGCAAGATGCCTTTCACCTGACCCTAAAAAGCCTGGGATTCTTACCTGGCAGTTCATTCTGAGCAACGTTTTATTGACGGAGACCAAGAATTACATAGAGTTAAGGGAGAGCTGTGAGGTTGCCCGCTTTGCTGGTAACACCAAATTATTCAGGGTGGTAAAAACAAAAATGGGATTGTGAAGAACTCTGAAATAACCTCTCCAAAAGCAGGTAATAAAATGGCAAAGACAGTTCAGTGAAATGGTGAGGGAAGTGAGCAAAAAAAGAATAAGTCATCCTGTCTTTATATATTCATTGATGGGATCTGAGCTGGCGGTGACTAACCAGTAAAGGGATCTTGGGGTCATGGCAGATGGCACAGTGAAAAGGTTGATCCAGTGCGCCACAGCTTTGAAAAGGGTGAATTCTGTGCTAGAGATAATTAGGAAAGGGGTCAAATATAAAACTGTTGGAGTTGTAATATCTCTGTTCAGATCTGTGGTGTGACAGCGCATGGGATGCTGTGGACAGTTGCAGATGCTGTGGAGTGGGCAAAAGTGCAGAACAGGGCAACCAAAATGATCAGAGGTCTGGAACAACTCCCTTGTAAGGAAAAGTGACAACTGCTTTCTATTATTATTTTGGAATGTTAAAAAAAATATGCAGTGCAGGCAAAGTGGATAGCTTGTCTTTCTCGTAATAGGTAAACCTGGGGTCATCCAAAGATGCTGAACGTTAAATGATTTAAGACAAACAAAAGGAAGTACTTTGCATGGTGCATAGTTAAGCTGTGGAACCTGCTGGGGAATTCACAGTCACAAATATGTGAGGGCTGCCAACTTAGTTGGCTTTAAAGGGAGTTAGACAAATCCATGGTGGATGACGCCATCAGTAGCTGTGAGTTGTGATGGCACCATGCCTCTGAGTACCAGTTGCTGGGGGATAATAGCTGGAGAGGTTCTTGCCTCTTTTTACTCTTCCCACAGGCATCCAGCTAGCCATTGTGAGAAACAAGATGCTGCTTGGCATGCCAGTCTGTTTGCCCTGCTTCCTACTGCCAACTCTGATGCCGCCCAACAACTTAACCCCAGTTTCCAAGAGCCTAGGCAGAGGTTTCTGCAGGGCTATGGAAGGGTGTTAGGGCTGGCACAGAGTTTGTTGAGTCTTCGCAGGGAAGGGCGTTTCACAACTCCTGGAAAAACTTTTGAGCATTGTCCTTGCCCTTCGGATGACATAACCAAGAAGTGTGTATCTGAAGAAGTGGGCATGCACACGAAAGCTCATACCAATAACAAACTTAGTTGGTCTCTAAGGTGCTACTAGAAGGATTTCTTTTATTTTGTTTCGACTACAGCAGAGCAACACAGCTACCTCCCTGTAACTATAACCAAGAATGTTAATTTAGCTGATCTTAATTATTGGAACACAAGAGAGGATAGCGTGGTCTTTGTGGATTTGAGGGCAAACTGCTGACTCTTGAACAGCGTCTAGCCTACCGTGGTGTTTTTTAGTAAGCTTACTTACTTGGTGGAATGTCAAATGTTTGTGCAGGAAATGGTACTGACCATGCCAAAAGCAACAGGTGAGAGACATGTGCCACTTCCAGCCTGCTACTGCCCATCCTTGCATGGTAGCACAGAGGGGTATGGGTCTGCTGCCACTTGTGCTTCCCCACCCAACAAAGCAGCTTAGTGATAGAGTGTATGGCCCTTCTCAAGGTTGTTCTAAGGCTACATGGGAGAGAACAGTAGGAGATTTCAAGGTTAATATTTCAGTACTGATTGAAAGATGCTGGGCTTTGGCAAGTGGTACTGCCATCTGCATTGATTCTGTGGAATGCCATTCGGGAGGCAGATAGTTTAGCAGACCTGTGCAGGATTTGGGCTACTTCTGCAGTAGATCTTGTGTTGCTGACACCTAGCATGACTCCTAATGCAGTACAGTGGTACCTCTAGTTATGAACTTAATTTGTTCCGGAGATCCGTTCTTAACCTGAAACTGTTCTTAACTAGAGGTGTGCTTTCACTAATGGGGCCTCTTGTTGCTGCTGTGCCGCCGGCACATGATTTCCGTTCTCATCTTGGGGCAAAGTTCTCAACTCAAGGTAACTCTTCCAGGTTAGCGGAGTTTGTAACCTGAAGCGTATGTAACCTGAGGCGTTTGTTACTCAAGGTACCACTGTACTAACAATTCTTTGTGAGGAAGAGTCTCTCCTTGATCAATTGGCTTCCTTGAGTTTAGGAGGGAAATGAGAAAACATCTTACTTTTTTCTTTCTTCTCCTTTTACCCCTCCCCCCCCCCAATTTCCAGGCTACCAACGCCCGCACGAATGAGGTGGTGGCAATCAAGAAGATGTCCTACAGTGGGAAGCAAACAAATGAGGTAAGAAGGACAAAAACAACTCTTCAAATGCCTCTGTGTTACAACAGCGAAGCAGGCTGTTCCATTGTGTGTTGCTGTGGTTTTTTTTAACAGTTCGTTTTTCTTAATGCCATAATAGGCTTCAGAGTGGTTTACAAGTATGCTACCTACTTCTGCAGAGAGACACTTTGAAAATAAAATAAATAAAACTGGACCAGCATTTACTTGTTAATAAAGTGAATTGGGAATGTAGACCACGTAGGGAAACTGTAGCTCGTCAGGTGTTGTTTGACTGCAGGTCCCATCAGCCCCAACCAGGATGGCCAGTGGTTAGAGATGATCGAAGTTGTAGTCCAGCAGCTTCTGGAGGGACACAGATTCTATGTTCCTCAGTGTAAGCTACTTGCAACACTAGAATTTTGAAAGTGTACTAAACAAGAGTGTACTAAGCTAGAAATCTCTGGAGACCTTCATGTGAAGGTTTGAAAGCCACTCCTTCTTTGCTGAGATAATTAATAATTAGAATACAAAAAAGGGAGGTGTGAGGAGGTCAATGAAACAAGTTAATGAAAGATAAAGATGTGGGAATAGTGGATTTGTTTTTAAAAAAAATTCTTGTTTTTGTTTTTGGTGTTGATGTTTTGTGTGTTTTGTATTTTTTTCCTTTTTATTGACTTGTACTGTTTCATTACTTTTTTTTCTTTTTTCTTTTTCCTCTTGTTTTTCTGTAATTCTAAATTCTCAATAAATATCATTAAAAAAAAAAAACTTTTCCACATCACCTAGCAATACAACCCCTACTCTACTCAGCACTTGTATGTTGTTCCCCATCACCTTCATTATATTACACTATTATCCTACAATTCCTTCTGTAAGCTCTGAGTAGCCTTACTGGGTTCTCCCCACTTCCCCCAATTGTGGCTAGGGTTGCTGAAACATGGTAAGTAGCACTAGATCACCTGGTTTACTTCATAGCTGAAGGGGATTTGAATCTGGGTCTCCCTGGTCATAGTCCAACACTTCACCGCACAATCTCTTTTACTCCTGGGCTCTCTTCCATCCCATCTCCTCAAGTTCCCTGACCTCTACCACCATGTAATTGCTCATCCACCTAGATCCTGCATGCAGGTTTCCTTCAGCCTTATGTGAGCTGCTGTACAGATCTCCAACATTCCCACCCAAAAATTGGAATTTCTTTCACCATTCTGTGGTACTTCTGCACCTTTTGAGTCGTGTTTGGTTTAACTTGCTGTCATTTTGGTACTTAATATTGCACATTGAGATGTGCTTTCAAGACCCTCCCTATTCTTATGACAGTAATTTGTTTTTTGACTGTTTTTAATACTGAATATTGGTGAAGGGTGGGTAATAAATTTAATGATAGCAATAATACTGTTCCTCAGTCCAGTGCTTTAATTTATTTTGTTTGTTCTTACATCTTATTTCCTGCCCTTTCTCTCTTAAGCAGGTTGCGGCCATAAAACAACTCTAAACAAATCTAAAAAACTTTAAAATGCACAATAAAATACTGCATGTATAACAGCCAGCAATAATTATACATCTTTAGCACTATCTTTCAAAGGCCTGCTGACACCTGAATGATACCAGTATGGGGAACAACTAGATCCTTGTAAAAAGGGAGTCAAATAGGAATTACTACTTTCCAGCTCCTCAAATTCAGTAGTCAAGTTGTGTCATGTATTAAAATGCTCCTAAGTGCCCATCCATTCTTGTGACCAACACAGGCAATAAATGCAGTGTTTAGAACCACGCAGCTTGTATAACATTATTTAGATTTTTGCTAAACCGTTAAATATACAGCATTATGTATCTTTGCTTAATGTGCGTATTTTGTTTTGACTGCAGTATTTGCATGACTTAATCTGATTGCCCTCTGGTAACTATTAGCCTTGCAAAGAGGCCATTTGGCCTGTACATCTTCAGCAGATGCTGACAAACTTTTGTTTCAATTTACTTGTGTTGCTAACAAACAGACAAACGAGGGGTGGGGAGCTGAGGTTCTTAGAAATCTAAGTTCTTCCTAGGTGTAGAATTCCATGTGAAATAGCCTCTGATTCCAGCTCACCTTGGAAATGTTCTTATTTTGCTATATGGAGAAATTATTATTTCATTATTTATTTTTATACCTCTCCCTTCAGCCAAAAAGGCTCCCAGGGTGGTTTGCAGATTAAGAAAATCAAGACAGTCACTGCCCTCAAGCTTACAAATTAAAAAGGAAAGGGAAAGGGGGATTGAAAGAGAGGGAGCAGGAAATAAGCAATTTTGGGTACTTAGTCCTTTGTTACAAGTTCTTCCAGTAGATGGCTGGGATCAGACAGTTCAAGGAGAGCAGGAACCAACAGTTGCTCATCTGTCACCTTCTCTTTCCCCCTCTTCTCTCAAGTTCGATCTAAAGACTGAGTTTCTTCTTCTTTTCTTTTAAAAACAGAAATGGCAGGATATTATCAAGGAAGTCAGATTTCTACGACAGCTGAAGCACCCCAACACCATAGAATACAAGGGTTGTTACTTGAAAGAAAACACTGCCTGGGTGAGTGAAAGCTTTGCTTGGATTTCACATCCTATGGGCTGTGAAGAAGCTGTTTTTCCCTGGATGCAATGCTGAATTGTTTCAATCATCCCACGCTGCTACTTATTCTTTAAAGGCTGTCGGGCCCTGAGCCTAACATTGGTATACTGCATAGAAACTGAAAATGTTTACAGGCCTTGGGGGTCCGCAGCTGGGTTGCCTTGTCGTGGCGCACTGTTTGTGCTGCTGCTTAAGGACAGACATGTGTTTCTAAGTACAATGGATGCTCATTAGAGAACTAGGACCAGCCTCATGGATGCTCCAAGGACCTCCAGAATGCTTAGGAAGGCTTGCCTGCCCTTAATGCTTTGTATCATCATATCATATGCAAGCTGTTGTTACATACCACCCCGATTTCTGAGCGGAGGGATACTCCCATGGATCCACTGCTTTATCAGGGTTCAGTTGTCTTGATAGAAAGGCAGCATAGTATGTGATGTCTTTAGGATATTTGGCTTTTATTTACACACATACGTACAATCTGAGCATGGGGGGAGGGGCCCTCACATCATTAACACCACCAAAAGATCTCACTTCTCCATTAGTCACAGCTTCTATGATTCTATGTCTCTCTTCCCCAGCTTCCAGCTCACTCTAGCCTAGCCCCAGTTTGGCCTATTGTTCTCCATCACTTAACTATAGCTATTAAAGGTAAAGGGACCCCTGACCATTAGGTCCAGTCGTGACCGACTCTGGGGTTGCGGCGCTCATCTCACTTTATTGGCCGAGGGAGCCGGTGTACAGCTTCCGGGTCATGTGGCCAGCATGACTAAGCTGCTTCTGGCGAACCAGAGCAGCACACGGATACGCTGTTTACCTTCCCGCTGGAGCAGTACCTATAAGCGGTACTTATAAGCGGTACCTATGACCCCATAATCCCCAATAATGGTGAATAAATTGTCATGTTCTGTTGACTTCACCTGCTTGAAGCCTGATACTGTACATGGAATGGGAGGGGGTGAGAGTTGGCTACTGTAGCCATTGCATACCAAAATTAACATGTATATCTTGGAGCAGCTCTCAATCTTGCTAAAACTGGAACTTTCAGTTTTATGGGTCACTGCAAACTCTTGGCGTAATACATTGCAAACTTAAAGTTGTTGTAAACCGTTTTAGCTGTCATGGCTTTCACCAAACAATCCTGGGAATTGTAGCTTGAGGAAATTGTTGTGCTGAGACTTCATATGAAAAACATCACCTTGCACAAAACATTTCCCAGGCTTCACAGTCCTCAGTGTAGATACACCCCTTACACTACACTCTTATATTGCTTGGTGAATTATCATTCCTTCTCTATTTTAATGGCTGCATTTATTTCTGCTTCTTGCAGTTAGTAATGGAGTACTGCTTAGGATCTGCTTCAGATTTGTTGGAAGGTAAGCCTTGAAATATTCCTACCATGCTTCTTTGACAGCATAGCTTTGCTTTTAGTGGTGGCAGTTACCTTCCCTACAGAGCATTTCATAGGTGATTCACAGTTCAGTCTAATTCTTTCCTGTTTAATGTATGAATGGTATCTATCACGTGTGATGCATCACATCTGACTGGCTGTTGCTTTTCAGTATTCCAGTATTAGGATCACAATCCTGGGTCTGCATGCAGTTGGGTTAAAGTAAGCCAAGTATGTCAATCCATCACTTGTATTCTCATTTCCTTGGTTCTTGGTTAGGAATTTACTGTGGTGGAAGGCAAATACGATATTGGAGAGAGGTGAGCCTGGGCACCAGCTACAGAGAGGAGGAAGTATTACAGGCCCTGTTCTCCCTCCTTCCTGTGGCCTGCTTCCAAATTCCATTGCCACATATCCTGCACATCCATAGGCATACTTTGTCTCCTAGACTGGCAGCCAGGAAGCCAAATAGCGCCATTCAATAGGCCAGATTTAGCCCAGGAGCCACTAACTCTTATCCTAGGTAGGTGTGCTTGCACATTTAAATATCACAAGTAACTACAACTTCAAGAAAATCGTAAGGAGAAAATCGCTCTGGTTTTCTGCCCTGATCTCTTTCTTTCTTGCAGTGGAGATAAATATGTAAAGGTGTACAAAATATGATGAGGGAAACATGTGAAGGGAGGGTGAATCAAAGTGCATTTCATTTCTACACCTGGGTCGGTTTCGGGGGAAAAGCTTGATGGAAGAGATATGGCACAACATTGGTGTTCTAGGAGGGAGTTCCAGGCATAAGGAGCATCAGGGAGAATGGGTGGACTTGTTTCAGAAACAGTTTGAGCAACTGAGGCTGGTAGAGTCAGAGGAGAGATTATTGTAAGCAGGAAAACAATGGCAGGGGGATACGAGAGGTCTGTTTTTCAGTTGCTTCTGCTTTGATCACCATCTCAGGTATTTGTCGTCCTGCTTAGAAGAGGTTTTTTGTTTGTGTTGACCCTATTGCTCTGCTAGCAGTAGTATATACAGTCCTTCCTACCATAGCATTGCATAAAACTCTTTTTTTGTGTGTCCAATTTTTCTTTCCCTCCCCCCCATCCAGTTCACAAGAAGCCACTTCAGGAAGTGGAGATTGCTGCCATTACCGATGGTGCCTTGCAGGGGCTGGCCTACCTGCATTCTCATTTTAAGATACATAGGTAAAAGCATGCAATTCTTTTATTTTATTTTATGTATCACTGCTTTTCTTTGCCTTGATTCATCTGATTGGAGGACGTGGTATTCAGACTGCTTCAAATGGGTTTGTTTGCCTCCTTCCCTAACAAAGGATTGTACTCACTATCTGGGAGCACGTATAGATACAGGTTTTGTCTTTGGATACCCAAGAGGTATCTGTAGCATGAAGCACCTTTCATAAGCTAAGGTTGGTGTGCCAGCGGTGACCCCTCCTGGCCGAAGAAAGGCAGCTGCTGTTGTTTGAACACTGGTAACATCCAGAGCAGACTACCACTTCACTTTATATAGCTTTGAAAGCTACTCCAGTTGATCCAAAATACGGCTGCTGACTGGGGCCAGCTGAATTGGGAGTGCATCTTGGCAATTCCTTAGTAACTTTCATTGGCCACTGATTCACCTCCAAGGTTTAAAACCCTATACAGCTTGGGACATACATATCTACAAGGCCACTTTCTCCTACGCAAATTTGCTCAAAGTTAAAGTCGTCTTCCAAGGCCCTTCCCTTGGTGGACCCACCTTCAGTTGTTAAGTAGTTGGCAACAGGAAGAGGGCTGCCTAGTTTCTAGTGCTCTGCTTATGGATGTTTTCCATGGGACTGGGCTTCATATCATTCTTGCACATTGCAAAGTCCTGATTTATTATTTATTATTATTATTATTATAGCCCACAATATTATTAGCCCCCTTTTTAAAAAAAGAAATTATACCCTGCCCTTCAGTTTCACCACTCTCAGAAAGTTTACAATGAACAAATGAGAACAAGAAAAAATGAAAATACATCACTAGCAAAACAAACACATCTAAAGCAATATTTTACTGAATTTATGTTGTTCTGCTCCATTGTAAGCAGTTCTAAAAAATAACGTAATACATTGTGAAGGGCCCTGGTAGTAGTAGTAGTAGTAGTAATAATAATAATAATAATAATAATAATAATGGTATAGTTAGCAGACTACAAAGTTATTATGCAAAAGGAAATGTGACTCACAGATTTATTTATTTTTGCTGGATATATAGAGCCATGTATTATTTTATGTAGGTTGAGAAAACCTGAATCAACAAGGTGATTTGTTCCAGAATTTATAGAATCAAAACGAAAAAGTGATTTTAATAACATATTGAGGATTGTGTCCACTGAATCAGAGGTAGCCAACATGGTACCCTTCAGATGTTGTTAGACTCCAGCTTCCTATCATTCCCATCAAGAGTATCAAAGATCAGAGCTTACGGGAGTCCAGCAACACCTGAAGGGCAACACATTGGTACTACTTGTAGCCTGATTTCGCTGATGGCATCTTGCTAACTGATGTTTGCAGGTGCCTTGCACTATACATGTAATACATAAATTGTCAATACGAACAGAATTGAACCCATAGATTAGTAGAGATGCCCCATTCAACAGTGCCCGATTTTGATTTCCTCTTTAAATTTCCAGCAGTACTATATTAGATTTCCTGAGCCTTGCTCTAGTTTCCCACCAGCTTGTACAAAGGCTAATGTTCTGTCACCTATCAAACTAATCTCAGCCTAAACTCTTCCATGCTAGAGGATGTGGTAATCCATCTGTTCTCATAGAACCAAAGAGTTTTCCTCTCATGCAGCTCACTCTGTTTGCCTGTGTCCAGACAGCTTACGATGAACTCCTTAAGAAGAAAACTTGGCTGCAGCTCTGCCAGTTATTTGGGGTTGCCTGTTGCCTGTATCTCACCTTGGCACCAATAAAGGTTCAATAAAGCTTCAATAAAGGAAGAGTGTCCTTGGTTTGGGGGCTGGATGAGAAGCGCTGAAAAACAGACCTCTGAGCTGCAGGGTGTTTATTTCGTATTAAACAGAAACTCCCTTTGAAACGATGATTGTGGTTTTCTTCTATTCAAAAGGGATATTAAAGCAGGAAACATTCTCCTAACTGAGCCAGGTCAGGTGAAGCTAGCTGATTTTGGGTCCGCATCCATAGCCTCTCCTGCCAATTCCTTTGTGGGGACGCCTTACTGGTAAGTGAAACTGGAGTGCAACTTTCTGTTTAGTCTTTTGTGGGATGCTTTATATGTGTGTGAGACTCTGTATTCACACACACACACACACACACACACACACACACACTGATCCAGTTTGAAACTACAATCCTGGTCTTTTAGATAAACATTTCCCCCCAAAAAAACTCTACCATACAATGTGCTACTCAATTTTGAGTTGCTAGGGAAATGCATTTTCAGAGAGAAGCGCAGCAACTGTTTCAAACAATGAGCACAGGAGGAATAACACTCCTGCAGTTGTCACGGGCTCTTACAGGTGTTAATAAGACTGCAAGACTATTGAAGCCACTTCCCCCACAATAGTGAAATCAGTACCTTTATGATCTCCCTTGTCTGATACATGGGGAAATCTCCCAGAAATTTCTCCAGCACAAACTTCATTGCTTACAGTGCTGCTGGTTCACATCTACCAGCTTTGACCTTCCAATAGATGGTGCCTTCCGCTTGCCCTTTGCCTGTACCCACTCTTCTGCTCTTAGTGGCAGCTAAATCTCTAACCTGGAACCACAGCCTTGCCTTTCTTTGTAGGGTTTCCTCTGTGTGGGAAAGGCTCTGCTGCTCCAGGCTCCATCTGCCCATGAGGCAGCTTCTGTGAGGTGATAGCAAGGCCTTTTGCCTGTAGCACCAGAGTGATGGGACTCAATCCTGCCAGAGCAAAATCAGACACTGGGGACCTGCCAGGTGTTAGATGATGTGAGCAACAGTCTAACAACATCTGGAGGGCCATGGTGTCCCTATCTCTGTTTTGGGTGGTAGGCTTTTCTGGCCTGAATCTTCTGTAATAGGCTCTCTCTGCATTTTGAATGTTTTGCAGGATATCAAAACTGTTTTGGGTGCCTGGAAGGAATAAGGAGTTAAAAGTATAATAACTATTAGTATGTTCAAAATGCTCCATGTGCTGCCAGCTGGTGCAGTATCTCCATCTCCAAAGTATAGATGCTAAAAGAGGCTAAGAGTGGCTTGCCTAAAGCCCTAGTGACTTCATGGTAGAGGCCAAGTTTACACAGGGGAATTCCTGATTTTGCAGCTCAGTTCTTTTCCTCTACTCTGCCCTGGCCCAGTTCATGTATCACTTGAAACCACAGCTAAGCTTAACTATGCTTTAAAGGTGAAATCCCAGTATGCTGGTGCATGGGGAGAAAACCATGTCCGCTTTGCTCCTTCTCTGCTCCTGTGCTACCAATAACTAAGGCGTGTTTTGGCTTCGTGTTATGCCTGAATCCAGACTCATGGTTTGGAGAGCCACAAGCAAACCATGAGCTGTAAGCAAAGTTTCTTATTGGTTTACAGATCCTGGTTTGTTTGGGGAGAGACGAACCATGAGCCCAGGCACAGATGTAACACTAAGCCAAAACAAAGCTTACCTCCTGATAGCATAGGAACAACAGAGGAGCAAAAGTAGCTGCAATTTTCTCCTCGTGCACCTGCATACCGCATGTTCATCTTTTAAGTCATAGTTAAGCCCAACAGTGGTTTCAGGTGACATGCAAATGAGGCAACTCTCAGTTACATGAGCACCTCCACTTGGCTGGGGACCGTTAGAGTTGGGTTTTCCTTGTCCCTTAGAATGTGTCCAGGTCAGTGCCGGATTTACGTATAAGCTAAACAAGCTATAGTTTAGGGCCCCACTCTCTTGGAGGCCCCCAAATAAATTTAAAGGGGAAAAAAACTGGATGTGGATTTTAAGTTAGAGCTTAATAATTATTCCACTATTAATATACATCTTCTTAATCATATTTCACTATCAATATACTTCTTCTTAATTGTATTTCAGTTCAACAATTACTTTGATAAAATACGTATTTTGTTATGTGCAAAAGGCTTTAGATACCTATTGGGTCCATAAATTACCATATAGCATATATTCAACACAAAAAACAGCGACAATTTGTTGTTGACAAAGGACAGCTGGACATATAAAGGGCCCCATTGCCTTCAGTAGCTTAGGGCCTCATCAAACCTAAATCCGGCCCTGGTCCAGGTGACTTTCTGCTCTCCATCTCTTGCTTTGTTAATTGTCTGCAAAACTAGAATCTAACCAAGGACACCTCTTGCATAGATAAATATTAAGCAACTCCATGAAGCTGTGTTTGGGTTGCGGGGCACATAGACTGCAGGAGCTCTATGTGTGCATTCTATGTGTATGTGTATGTGTATGTGTGTATGTATGTATTCCCTCTCCAAAGCCAGCAGTGTAGTTGTGTCCCTAGTGTGGATTTCCCTGCTGTCTTGCCTTGTTACCCCCCCTTTTTTATCTTAGACCCCGCCTTTCCCCACTGTGCTCCAGATCCCCTTGTTTCTTTCATAGCTGCACTCCCAGGCTGAGCATCTCCAGGAAAACACTGTTGGTGTATCAATGGGAAAACTCACCGTCTCTGGTGAGACTGAAATTGATGCCTTAGGACCCTTTCAGCCCCTGCTGGCTGACTCCAGGTACAATGCCACTGAGGTTGGTGCGGGTCGCCCATCTGCCAGCATGTTGCAGACTCATTAGGTTGTCCTTTTTCTTTCTCCTTTGTTTTGCTCTTCTCATACTCCCTTACCATCACCTCTGGAGGAAGTTTTTGTTTTTTTCCTAAGCAGGCTAGTGTTATTTCCCCCCCAGCATGGCTTAGTTTTGCTCCATGCTGATTATTTTAAGTTCCGGGGCTGTGCTGGTGATGATAACTTGGAGGGTGTGGGGGGAAATTGTACCCCACCCCTTGTGGTGTGTTTATTTTGCTTTTGTGTTGCGTAATCTGCACTCTTTGTATCCCTGCGTGGTAGGATGGCCCCTGAAGTAATCCTAGCTATGGATGAAGGACAGTATGATGGAAAGGTAGATGTTTGGTCTCTTGGAATCACATGCATAGAGTTAGGTGAGTAACATGGCCGCATATATTTTCAACCTCTCTGATACCTTGTAAAGATTCTCAGCACCAAATGAAACAGGCAGCCTATTTCTTCCACACTTCGATTCAGTAGGGTTTCCAGGAGTCAGATTCAGCCCATGGGCTCTCAAGTGGCCATCTATGATTATACTGTGGCATTTCTGTAGTTTCTGGGGGTGTGGAGACTAAGACAGGGAAGTAAAGCTAGTCATTTTGCTACAGTAGCCAGAGCAAACAAAGTGAGTTCTGAATGATGGAAATTATAATTGGGGGCAAAATGGTTTCTGCATTCATACTGTGGGCACATGTACTTTGATGCCAGTTGTAGAACTTAACATCTTGAGTAACTCTGCTTACTTTCTGTGCAATCAATATCCAGTCCTTGGTAAATTCTTAGAAGCTGGAGAAGGGTCTTAAAAAGACTTGTAGCAGTTATCATTAGAGGCTGGAGCTTTGAGGAAGCTGCAGAGCCGCTTGCCTCCTCCCCATGCTTTATAAATTATACCAAATATGCTAATTTACTTCCTTTGTACAGTTTAGGTTTGCTTGTTGCATTTTTGCAGATTGTCTGGCTGCAAAATTTGTGGGTTGCTTGGTTAGCTAATTATTGCAAAGCTCTCTCGATCCTGACTATGATCAGGAAAAAACCAAATATAAACAGGATTTTCGCCAAACTTTTAGGGTCATCAGCCCAGTCCTATGGAATGCTCTTCCAATAGGGATTCATCAGGCGCCATGCATTTTAACCTTTAAAGGTTTGCTGAAAACATCTCTATGCTGCCAGGCTTAAGCAAACAATTGAGATTGACAACAATTGAGAAAACATTTTCTGTAATTGTATGACTTCAGATCTTTACATGGTTTTTATTGCATAGATATTTGTTGCAAACACTTTGATATTTTTAATGGAATTGCTGTATACAAGATTTTTTTTATATAAATTAGTTGTGCGCTAAGTCAGGAGAGAGGTTTCAGGACCACATGTGTGTCCTGCCATTGGTGTGGGCACACAGCGTACTTGGTTCACCATTAATTTGATGGAAACAACTCAGGGTGGCTGAGGCAACCCAGTCAGATAGATGGCATCATTATCATTATCATTATCATTATATTTTATTTATTATTTATCATTTATTATTATTTATTACAGTCAGTAGAACAGAAATAAAATAAAAACATTCAGTACACCAGAATCTCAAAGCAAAACACACAACTTACTCTCTGTAGAACTTCAGTTTTTAAACAACCCCACCCACCCCCAGCAAAATATATACCTTATGGCTTAAGAGGGGCTTATTTGTTTTATCGGTTAAAACAAAAATATACCTTACCTTTCAACTTGGAAAAATTCCACAGTGAAGTTCCCAAAATGAAAGCAAACAAAAAACACAGTCCAGTAAAGCAAAGCAAAATTTCACAACCTACAACAATGTAATGACAATCAGGAGGAGTATTACAACAGACCAAAATAAAACTGAAGTATCGCCAGCGCCTAGGAAAGTAAAAAAAATAAAATGCATTGATACCTGAAAACATTCCTTTTGGAATTACTGTGTTATTTGCAGGGCTTCTTTTGAGAACTGACCAGAAACCTCAGTTGGTGCAGAATATGGCTATGAGACTGCTAAATTGGATAGGCCCCTCTGAACCTATGATGCCAGCATTTTATCAGCTTCACTGACTCTCCCAGTCTATTTCTGGGAGTCCAATTCAGATAGATAGATAGATAGATAGATAGATGATAGATAGATGATAGATAGATAGATAGATAGATAGATAGATAGATAGATATAGATAGATAGATAGATAGATAGATAGATAGATAGATAGATAGCACCAAGTGCTTCTTTATTTTCCCATATCTTTCAAGTCTTTTCGTTTCTATGGCCCTTAAACCTCAGAGCTCAAAACAGGATTTTCTTCTTCACTTCTTTATTTTTGTTTTTGTTTTGTTTTTTTACTTAAGGTTGTTTTAACATTGCATCTCATTTTATTCTATGAAGTGTTCATTTTTATTGTAGTCCTTAATTTGTTCGTACTCTGCTGCACTTTTATTGTAGGGAGGCCCCTGTGTCTGTCTATAAAAAATAGAAGAAGAAACAAGAATTGGGCAGAAGGAATTCCACAGGCCCACGCGGTGCTGCTGTAAAAAAGGCCCTGTCCCAGGTTGCTGCCTTCTTGGCTTTGAAAGACAGGCACACCTGGAGTAGGACCTCAAAGGGTTGCGTGGGCAATACTTAGTGAAATCTCAGCAGCAAAGGTGGTAGCAGGGGCACATGAGTGGTACTATCAGTAGACAGGAGTCCCTGCATGGTTTATATCTATGACTGATGGAAGCCCAATAAATAAATTATATACCGTACTTTTCCGTGTATAAGACAAGGCTTTTTTACTCTAAAATTATGTTCAAAAACTTGCCTCATCTTATACATAGATAGTGAATGGGGTGGACGGGTGATTGGCTGCAGCTATAAGCAGGAGCTGCTAGAAGGGATGCTTTGGATTGGCTGCTGCTTCTCTAATTGGGTTGGTAATTGGCTCCTGCAGCAAACACTGCTGTTGATTGGCTGCCGCTGCCGTGATTGGCGGTGGCTGTTCTGGGACGCACGCGATTGCCAGCGGACGGCTTTTCTCAGCCGGGTAAGAATTTTTAATGCTGGTGAAGGGTCTGTTTGCCGTTGGCTGTCTCTGTGGCAAGTGGGCGATTGTCAGCTGCTGGTGATTGTCAGCGTTGATGCTGTGTGTGAGTGATTTTTGGCAAACCCCCCCTCAAGCTGTAAAACTCTGGCAATCCTCCTCAAAAAAACTCAACTCTGAGCCATCTCTCTCGCCCCCCATTTTCTTAAATTTGAGTCCCCCCAAAAAGGGGGGTGTCTTATAGACGGGAAAGTACAGAGAATTAAGGAATTGTATGCATATAGCATCTATACAGATCACAGAATTAAACTTATATTTTTTTAAATATGTTACCTTGGTACAATTTCTTTTTGTTCATATTCCTTACCTGCACTTACTTATGTCTATCCGCAGCTTGTGCACATAAGCTAAGGATAGAGGCTAAAAAACCCCATGCTATCCCCATTACTGAAGAGTCTGGGCAATACATCAATGGGTGAACTTTTCATCCGCTTGGTTGCAGAATGCCCCTAATAGAAGCCTTCCCACTCCACATTTTATTATATATATATATATATATATAACAATTTCAAAAAATATATACAAAAACAAAATCCCAACTCTCCCTGCTCTACCCTCCAGAACAGATCAATCGTTAATTTGCCAAAGTCTTTTATGAAAGGATGCCGTATTTCAACAAAATTGTATTCCTGGGTGCCACTGGACTTATGTACTCTATTTTTTCTCACTACTTCCTTTCCCTCTCCTTGCAGCGGAACGGAAACCACCCCTCTTCAATATGAATGCTATGAGTGCCTTATATCACATAGCCCAGAACGACTCCCCTACCCTACAGTCAAATGAATGGTAAGAGATGCCATCTGCAGTCTACTCCTGATTTTTAAGATCCTTATTTATTTATTTATTTATTTATTTATTTATTTATTCGTTTATTTAGAGCACACGTACCCTACTCCTTAGCCAAAAAAGGCTCCCAGAGTGACTCAACAATTAAAACAAGGCCGTCCCTGCCCCTGCAGGTTTACAATCTGAAAAAGCATGACACACAAGGGAAAAGGGACAGGGAGGAAGAGCAGGATGGGGAGAGATCAAACTCAGGCATTGTTACTTAAACGGTTGTTCTTATAATGACCAGCTTGCAGGGCCAGGAGGTGCCCGATGGAGCCGGGCTTTCAGCAAATCTGATGGCATTAGCCCTACTTCCCAAATTGCCTGCTGAGGCAGTTTGATGGAATGGCTTGTTCCCAAGTGAAAGTTGAGGGAGGGGAGGCCTGATGGAGCTGGCCTGTCATAGCAGAGTTGAGGGAGTGAGCTCTGCTCCCCATCTTCCCCATTGGTGGAATGGCTGCTCCCCAGCCACTGTTTCTTCTGGTTTGACAGATGAGATCCTGTTCCTGCCTGGTATGTGACAATGAATGCGAGCCAGTGGATAAAGTGTTGATGAGGATGCGGAGGAAACACCGCTTGGTGTCTTCACATTTTATGTGCCAGTCATGCTTGCCTCAAATTGATGTTTCCTGCAGCAAATGCGTGGATCATGAATGACAGAATCGTATATTAAAATTCCAGTGTATGTGTGCACATGGGACGCGGGTGGTGCTGTGGGTTAAACCACAGAGCCTAGGGCTTGCCGATCAGAAGGTTGGCGGTTCGAATCCCCGCGACGGGGTGAGCTCCCGTTGCTCGGTCCCAGCTCCTGCCAACCTAGCAGTTCAAAAGCGCATCAAAGTGCAAGTAGATAAATAAGTACCTCTCCAGCGGGAAGGTAAACGGTGTTTCCGTGTGCTGCTCTGGTTTGCCAGAAGCAGCCTAGTCATGCTGGCCACATGACCAGCTGTACGCCGGCTCCCTCGGCCAGTAAAGCGAGATGAGCAGCGCAACCCCAGAGTCAGCCACGACTGGACCTAATGGTCAGGGGTCCCTTTACCTTTACCTTTATGTGTGCACAGGCTGATGAGCCCCCAGAAAACTATATTCTGTCCAGTGGAGGCTGGTCCCTTAGGGTGAATGGATCACTGCCTGTCATTTGCTACACAATTCTTTTAACTGGAGACAACACAGATGGAACCAGGACCTTCTGCGGGGACGGCATGTTCTGTACCACTCAGCTGTGCTGCACCCCTGTGGGCCACACCTATTGTTCATTTTACATGTTGACTGTAAGAAATAGTGCACCTGCGGCAGATTCAAATTGCCACTTCATTCAATTGAAGGAGAAAATGCAAATATGTTAATCCACAATGTATATGCTAACCCGTAGCCCAGAGTCCTGTTTCATCCCCCTCAAGGCAGCAGCAAAGAGATCAAGGAAATTAAGGAAGACCCAGTGCAGAGGTGGACAGAGCCCTGATAGGGATATAAATTGCCTGCTCCTTGGCCACCAGAGTGATGGATCAGCTGTGGGGTGGGAGCTGTGTGTGTTTGTGGTCACACCCACCTCTGGCCTTGGGCTGAAAAAAGTTTAGCCATCCCAGTTAAACTTAAAACAATAACAACCCACATACATTACAACAAAAAGTAAAAGACATATAACCATATATTATAATTTGCTCCAGAACATTGCAAATGTTGTCCATTTTTCCAGGAAATGTACTTGCCTGTTGTCCGTGATGTGTCTTGTGTGTTACAATGAAATGTCTTGTGCTCAAAGTTCTGCCTTTCCATTCTGAAACCGAACGAGTGTTTCCAAATAACTTGCCATGCAATTGCTGCACATAGTGTGGAGTGTCTCTCTGGGAATATTTGGACCTCCATCTTAATACTAATAAAAATTTGTACAGCAAGCTGAATGCATCTGAGATGAATACCATGCTGTGGGTCAGATTGGCGTGTTTTGTCAGTTACTGCCTTTATCCGACAGCTTTCAAACATCTGTGTGCTATCAATATTGTGACCTCACCTTGTGCTTGGGAGAGGTCAGGTAGCAGGGTCTTAATACAAGAGCTTCTGCTTGGGGCTGATGCTTCAGTTGCACCATGTGGTCCGCAAGCTTCCCCATGGTGGCTGTTCTGTGCGGCAGCTATAACATTGGAAAGCCACTCAGGCTACCGAAAACTGCGTCGGAGACTGTGCACTTTTAAATTGGCATTTAGAAGGAAACTTTTTCCTGCACTATTCAAGACTTCAGAATACAGTTCATTTTTTCTTTCAAAAGCCCCATGAGAGAGATTAGATTAGGCTGACGGTTGTTTGCCTGCAACTGCCCACTAAAACCTCCTGGCTGCCCAGTGATTTAAACCTGTGTTCCTCACACCTGAAATCCAGTATTCCTTTTATCTGTTGCACCACACTTGACTGTACTGAGTATAACTTGTGATGGCGGGGTGACAGGCTTGATGGCTTTCTTTGTCTTGCTTTCCCTTTACCTCTCCAAATCTAAATCTATTCTCATGTCTTCTCTGTTCCTATACTCAGGACGAACTCTTTTAGGGGATTTGTTGATTACTGCTTGCAGAAAATACCTCAGGAAAGACCATCGTCGGCAGAACTATTGCGGGTAACCTTTCAGATTTCTGTTGGGCTATGTGTAAACTTTCTGTAGTGTGAAGGGGAAAATTAAGGACAGTTTCCATGTGGTTTGATTTGGGTCTGGTAGGTGCTGTGCAGGTAAACACCCAACTTGCATATTCAGGATTCCTTTGGTATAGCCTTCCTCGGCCTGATGCCCGCCACTTGTTTTGGACTACGACTCCCATCCCCCTGACCATTAATAGCTGGGCTGATTGAATGTGCTCCAAAACCTATGGAGGGCACCAGGTTGGGGGGGGGGAGTTGTATTAGAGAGCACTCGCCTTCTTGCTTAACCCTCAGGTGTGCCCCCCAGAAACACTTAAAATAACAACAACAACAACAACAACAACAACAACAACAACAATAATATAATGCCAGTTTTGCTGCAGGAATAAACCCACCATAAAATGTACTCTTTAATGCAATAGTTGGATCTTTTCCCTCAAGCCAAAAGGATGCTGCAACTACCAATAAACAGGTTGAAGTTGTTTAAGGTTGGAGATGAGTTTAGAGGGAGAGAAGGCAAGTATGTGCCATGGTGCTAGAGATGAGTTGCAGGTGAGGGTAGATTGGAGGACTGAGGGGGTGACTTAAGGGGTCCAGCATATCCACTTTAATGCTCAGTAGCAAAGTGCGTCCCCAGTCAGCACTGCATGGTTGTGGATCCACTCTGCATAACTGAGATCCCTGGTTGTCATTTAACCTAATGTGCCAGTGGTGCTGTAAAGGGCTGTCGTGAAGGGTGGTCTGTTGGAGCTGATTGGTCTCCAATTAGTATGTCTTAATGATACTCACTGTAAGTGGGCTGGGAAAGGTCATAGTGGCAATTGAGAAATTCTGGGAATTATTTGTGCCTCCTTGGGGAGCTTTGCCTTCTTTTTTATTTTATTGTACAGCCACTTCCTTTTTGAAAACACGGGGGGGGGCACTATTATTTATTGCTGGAATTCAGGTGTGCAGGAAAGCTCACCATAATGCCATCTACCCTGAACACACTTCTTTTAAAAATATGGGATATCACTTTTTTTAAAAAAGGAACTTTATTTTTCAACCACAGTTAGTTACTCCAATTTAATGTTCTTAACTGAAATATAAAAAGGTGACCTTCGCAATGTGCACAATTTTTATTTTTATTTATTTTAAATATATATTTTTTATTTTGCTGAGAGCACGTGTGTCGTTTTTGTGGGGTTTTACCTTTTCTGACCTAGAGTGCTTCTGTCTCCTTCTAAAACCAGCATGAGTTTGTTCGCTGTGAGCGACCGCCCCGGGTTCTAATAGACTTGATTCAAAGAACGAAGGACGCTGTGCGAGAACTGGATAACCTTCAGTACCGGAAAATGAAGAAAATCCTTTTCCAAGAGGCCCACAATGGCCCTCTGAATGAGTCTCAGGAAGAGGAGGAGGTATCAAGTTTATCTATACCGGTGATTGGTAATAATGACCCCTGTACCACACATGGCCCTACCCAACCCCCTTTTCACAGGCATGACTTGCTGAATTTTGTTGTGAACAGGAATCAATTGTATCTTATTTCTGGGCCATGATATTTTCCTCTAGGTTTCTGAAATTAAGTGTCTGAAGAGGGTGGAGTGTGCCACCAGGTCTATGGAAAAAGAATAATTTGAAGCCTCACCCATTAGTCTGAGGAGGTAGCAGACCCCCCTAACCACCTTTATTCTCAACAGAGGATTGCCCACCTTTCTATTCTGCTCTAGAGCAGTGTTTCCCAACCGGTGTTCCGCGGCACACTACTGTGCCGTGAGACATTGGCTGGTGTGCCGTGGGAAGGAGGCGGGCGAGTCGGGCGGTGAGAGGCGGCGGCGGCGAGGATCCGCGTCGAGCCGGGGGCGGCTCCGCGGTGGTGGTGCCGAGCGGCGGGGCAGCGCGTGCAAAAGGGAGGAGCGCGAGACAGCGGAGGAGGAGGAGGCCGGCATGTCCGGGCAGCAGCAGCAACAACAGCAGCAGCAACTCCCGGCGACGGCTCCTCAAGCCCCGCCGCCGCCCCCTCCTCCGCCAGCTATCGCCGCCACCACCACCACAGCCGCCGCCGCCTCAGTTGCCGCCGTCCCTCAGTCCCTCGCTCTGCTGCCTCCTCCCACCCCCAAAGCTTGGAGGTTCCCCGGCAAGGGGGAGGGAAAAAACTTTCACTTTCGTGCGTCCCTCCCGGCGTGACGCTGCGCGCTGACGTCACGGGGCGGGGCTTTAATGGTGGTGTGCCGCGAGATTTTTTTTCAGTAAACAGGTGTGCCGTTGCCCAAAAAAGTTTGGGAAACACTGCTCTAGAGTACATGAGGCATAGGGCCAACTCCGTCTGAATGTGTTAACTTTATTGAGAAAACCAAGCAAGACCAAGGCAGGCTAAAGTGAAGGATGGGTCCAACAGACTGGGGGCCAGATAAGTAGACTGATAACTCTGTAGATGAGACTGGAAGTTGGTTAAGTGGGAAATATCCAAAGAAGATATATCATGGTCTCTGCTAAACTTTCAGACGCTGTAATGTTTCTCAACACCAGTTGTTGGATGTCGCAGGAGGAGAGAGTCCTGTTGTGCTTGAGGGCTTCCCATGGGGACTTCTGGTTTGCGACTGTGAGAGCAGGATGCTGCCCCAGATGGACCACTGGCCTGATCTAGTGGTCTCTTATGTCCTTAAACTGGTCAGGCCATGTGCAAAAGCATGGCGAGAGCTCCTCAGCTCCATCTGGTGTTCGAGTCACCACAGGCCCATTCTCCTGATCTTGCTGGACTCGCTGTATTTTGAGGCAATGGCCCCTACTTGCCATAGGACCAGAATGTGGGGGACCTTAGGTCTGGTGGATGAATGCAGCCCTCTTCTTATTGGCCCTTGGAACTATTTCCTAGACCCACACCCCTCGCCATCTCTTTGCTGCATCTTTGTCGGACTAGAATGTGTCCTTGAACGATGATGATACTTCTTTTGCACCTGGATGGAGAAAGGTATATGTAAAAAGCCTCGGGTTTTTGTGTGGTTAGGATGTAGCCTGCTGTCAGAGTCCAATCTGTTGCTCTGCTCACTTTTTTGCTCTGGCATGCAGTGCCTGGAAGGTTGCCCATGAGCCAGCGCAACCCTCGGGATGAAACAGGTGTCCTGCCCTTGGCTGTAGAACAAAAATGGGCAACTGTTAGCCTATGGAGTGCTTCTGCTCCCTTCTCATGGAGGAATGGGAGACTCTGAAGCAATCTGCCTATTTTCCAGTGCTAAGAGTTTTTCCAGGCTGGGGGAGAAGTGGCTGTCAAATTCTTTAGACTGTGAGGGGCTAGGTTTTTCTGAGGCTGAGCCCACTTGGGAGAGGAGGTGATGTCATAACCTTGGGCCTCCTGACTCCCCAGCTGATGAAACAGGCCATTGCTGCTATTGAATAAAAGTACCTCTGCTCTCAAAGAAAATTCTGAAATCTAGTAAGAAGGATGAGCCCCCAAAGTAGAGGAATTGGGGAAAAAAATCATTCAGTCTTAGCAGTGTTACACTCTTAGCAGTAACACTCATAGCAGTGTTGCTAAGAGAACACATTTAGTTGCTACTTGATTCCAGGGGTGCTTTCAACAATGATGATAGCTTTGCGTGTGTTTGTGAGTTAAGTTACTTTCGTGGCCTTAATTTGAAAATGCAGAAGTTTAAATTTGGATATGCAATAGTAGGAGCATTTTAACTTGGCCCAGCACAGAATTAAACACCTTCTAAAATGAAAGTTTTAGGGCGTTGATAAGGCTCTTGGGAAGCCTATACTACGGAGGTTCAACCTTAGGCCATTTAATTATCAAGATAGCGGTCCTGAGTATAGAAGTAAATTTTGCCATACAGCATTTAATGGCCAGGCTCTGTTTATAAAGTCAGCACCAAAGCAAGCAAGCCATGGCCTAACGTTTATATATATATTTTTAATTTTGGAGCATTTCTAAACTGCTTACCATTTTAAAATATTCTAGGCTGTGTACAACATAAAAACAAAATACATTAAAACAAAAATGCAGCCTAAAATGAATAAAACAGTATAAAAACATCAGAGCAAGTAAAAAGAGATTCAGGGGAATTCGTGCACATAAATTGGGACCCAAATCTTATGGGTCAGGGAAGGCCTGAGCAAAACGATAAGCCTTTACAAGATGTCTGAAGCAACTGATGGCGGCTGCTTTGCATATGACAGAGGAAAGAGCACTGCATAGTAGAGGAAAGGCAGCAGAATATGCCTGTTTTCAGGCCACCACCCTGTGATATTCTGTAGGGTGTGATTCCATGAGTAGAATTTCTCAGAAGATATGAGAGATCTTACAGGTCTATATATACCGGGGTAGACGGTCTCTCAGGTAACTGAAACCTAAATGCGCTGAGGCATACAAAACCTAGAAAGATGCGGTGCCAATGTGGAAAACATATAAAAAACCATTGTTTCCCATTACAAGTGAAACTGTCAGCAAACTTATTACTGTGCTGTGATTAAGTTAGGCAGGGTTTCCACTTTCCATTTATATGCTTGCTGCCAAAACTACACTTGTAGGTTTGTTTGCTGGGCAGAGGGTTGGACCAAGACTCTCATAGTAACCACTATATATATATTTTTCTAGTTCTCGGCCCAACATATAGGTGCTTTGCTTGTGAGCAGGCACCTTCTCTGTCCCCACTTCTCAATCCCCCCAAAAGATCCTGAAACGTAGAACTGCAACACTGAAAGGCCAACCAACTTTGCACCATCACCAGGTTGTATACCTAAACCATCTCCAATAGGTGCTTGGCCAGTCTTTTCTTGAAAACATTAAAGGAAACCAACTCTATAGTCTTTTATGAAGAATATGGATGGAGACGGTGGGTCAGTCAGTCAGTCTTAACGCTTGCTCATAATACTAGGTCACTCATTGATGATGAGCAGCAGTAGCAGGAACTTGTGAATCACTTCCACCACCACCCCGGAAGCTCCCAATTCCATGGTCTCCTACACAGCCAAACACAATCCAGCCCTCGCTGGAGATGTCATTTGTTTGCATTGCATCAGGAGAATTATGATGAGGCGAAGGGTAAACCCTCCTTACTACATTGTAGTCCTGATCCTGATCGAGCCTTCTGTGGCTGCTGTTTTAGCAAAGAGAAAAACAAGCATGCAGTTGCTTAATGACATGTTTTAATGTAACATGAGGTTTGGTCCTCAGGAAAAGGCCAGTGAAGGTGTTCAATTCAAGCATTCAAACTCAAGAGTGGCCTACAGAATAAATGGAAACACTGATGCCCAAGTCCTCAATTCATGTCAGCGGTAGGGAACTTCAGGCATGGGGACTGAACGTAGCCCTCAAGACAGCTCTGGCTGCCTCTTGTCACCCCCCAGGTTATACCTCGCTCTCTCCACAGCCTCAACCACTTTTGCCTGGCTGGTACAGTACAGTGGTGCCTCGCAAGACAAAATTAATTCGTTCCGCAAGTCTCTTCGTCTTGCGGTTTTTTCGTCTTGCGATGCACGGTTTCCCATAGGAATGCATTGAAAATCAATTCATGCGTTCCTAGGGAAACCGCCTTCAGACCAGGTCCGGGGACAGTCTGTCCCCCGACCTCTTCTGAAGGCTGGGGGGGGGGGACAAGGGCTTTTCTTCCCACTGCCAGCCTTCAGAAGGCTGTTCTGAAGGCTGGCGGTGGGAAGAAAAGCCCTTCTTCCCACCTCCCGCCCCGCAAGCTCTGGGGACAGGAGGGCTTTGCTGCCGACCGCCAGCATTTTAAAAGCCCCTGCTGTCCCGGGGCGATTTTAAAATGCTGGCGGGCGGGAGCGAAGTCTCCGCTGCCCCGAGGAGATTTTAAAATGCTGGGGGTCGGCAGCGAACGCTTCGCTCCTGCCCGCCAGCATTTTAAGATCGCCCGGGGCAGCGGAGAAGTCTCCGCTGTCCCGGGAAGGCAGGCGGGGGGAGCAAAGACTTTTGCCCTCGCCTGCCTTCAGAAGAGGTCCAGGACCTCGTTCCGATGCCCGGCGGCGGGGTGCGAGGTTCCCGCCCCCCCGCCCCGCTTCGGAGCAGCGTTCCGAAGCGGGGCGGCTGGGGCAGGTGTTCCCGCCCCCCCGCCCCGCTTCGGAGCAGCATTCCGAAGCGGGGCGGCTGGGGCAGGTGTTCCCGCCCCCCCGCCCCGCTTCGGGGCAGCGTTCCGAAGCGGGGCGGCTGGGGCAGGTGTTCCCGCCCCCCGCCCCGCTTCGGGGCAGCGTTCCTAAGCGGGGCTGCTGGGGCAGGTGTTCCCGCCCCCCGCCCCGCTTCGGAGCAGCGTTCCGAAGCCGGGCGGTGGGGGCAGGTGTTCCCTCCCCCCGCCCGGCTTCGGAGCACCGGGAGAAGCGATCTCCCCGCAGCCCCTTGCTTCAAAAGAGGTCCGGGGGCAGCGGGAAGTGCTTCCCGCTGTCCCCGGACCTCTTTTGAAGCAAGGGGCGGTGGGGAGAAGCGATCTCCCCGCAGCCCCTTGCTTCAAAAGAGGTCCGGGGGCAGCGGGGAAGAAGCGCTGCGCTTCCCGCTGCCCCCGGACCTCTTTTGAAGCAAGGGGCGGTGGGGAGAAGCGATCTCCCCGCAGCCCCTTGCTTCAAAAGAGGTCCGGGGGCAGCGGGAAGCGCTTCCCGCTGTCCCCGGACCTGGGGCTGCGGGGAGAAGATCGCTTCTCCCCGCCGCCCCTTGCTTCAAAAGAGAAGACCCGCTGTCCCCTGGGCAAGCTTCGTTTTGCGAAGCAAGCCCATAGGGAAATTCGTCTTGCGAGGCAACTCGAAAACGGAAAAACCTTTCGTTTTGCGAGTTTTTCGTCCCGCGAGGCGTTCGTCTTGCGGGGTACCACTGTATGTGCCTCTGAACTGTGACCCTGCCTTTTGCTTACCAGGATGGAGGGGAGTGGTCTATGGGCAGAATCCTCTGGCTTTTGCTCTTGTATGGCCGGAGCATCACCTATGGTTGAAAGAAAAGACTCTTGGCTTGGCCATTTCTCTGACAAAAGGATGCCAGTGAGCAAATGCACCCCTCAGACTGAAAAGGGCTTCCTTCCCAGCTCAGATTTATATTGCACATGGCAGGGATGTAGAGAGGGCTGAAGTGGTAGAAGGCAGATTGCGGAGAAGCATCAATAAACCGTTTTCTTAGTACGAGTTGCCCTCACCCAAGACATACCTTTGGGATGGTCCAAACAATATTGATCTTTAGCCCTCCAAACAATATCTGTGTGCTGCACGTGAAATTGAGCGTTACTGGGCATGTCAAAGCACCCCCATGCAGTCAGTGCACCTGTGATTGTTTCAGCTGTACAAGTCCAATTTTTTTTTCCTAAGGCTGCATAACGGCTTAAAACTGTTGACGCTCTTCAGATAATATATTTGTGAGTTAACGTTTTTCCCAGGGCTCTGTAAATATTGGAGGAAATGCTCCCATCTGTGACCACCGCTTCCTCCCCACCCTGTGGCACATGATGTGCATAATCTTAAAGGGTGTTTGTTTTATAAGGGGGGGGGGCTGAACTTTCTGCAATGTGCAGAAAGGGAACTTCTGCAAAATATGTTGAGAAAATGACAATTATGTGCTTAGCAGGAAATGGAAAGCTAAGGTTGCCTGTGTGCATTTTCTTTAAAATATAATTTCCTTTAGACCTGTAACTTTTTTTGTACTTGTATGCACTGTTTTCTCTGTTACAGGCTTGCACATGCCAACTCTTTAAGAAACGCACACTCAGGTTTCATGTAGGGCTGCACTAAGTATTCACCAGTTCCAGTACTAGTACTGAAACCAGCAGTTTCTGCAGAGTAGATTCCTCACCTGCAAGAAAACGAGATTGCGTGAACATTCACCTTCTTTCTCTGTACCCCATTGCTTTCCCCCCAATTTTGTTGAGTTCTGTTTCCCCTTGCGGGTATTCACCCACCCCTGGATTAATGCAGGTATATATCACAGTGCTACTACATGTGATGATGAAGGTGATGGATTTTAGTAAATAAAACCTGCAGGTTTTGTTCCCTGATGGTACCATTGGAGGCAATTGAAAATGAAGGTAAGCTAGGACAATTTCTGAAAATATGCAACTGTTTGGCAAAGAGTGCTTAAACTAATGCAAAGTGGGGTTTTTGGCACTACAAGAATCTTAAATTTACAAATGAAATCAATACACTAGCTCACTAATCATCATATGTCAAGTAAGGTAGGTACTTCTAGGGTGAGAGTTGTAGTTTTTCCTTTGTTTTTTCTCCCAGAAAAATGGGGGGAACCAAGGTGGTTAATCCAGAGAAACATTCCTGCCAGCATCCTCTTTTCTGCTTTAGACCCTGCATCCCAGATCTCTGAAACCAATAAAGGTTAGGCCTCACCATTGGGATTTTTCAAATGGTAGACAAGTACAAGAATGAAAAACTGGAGCACTGTTCATTTAAAGCCCATAGCAAATTGCTATGATACTGCAGTTTGAAATATGAAGAGTTATGTCCTCACTGCCAGTTCTTGGCTTTGTTGGTCTGTACTCAATACTGTGACCTGTTTGTTATTTGATGCAAACATTTGTATTTAACAAAAGAGGGGCGTCCTACCAAGTTGTTCCTAATTGATAGCAATGATTGTTAGGTCCAGTGTTTTCCATCTCATCTCACTCCATTCCAACCCTTACCTTTCCCCTTCCTCCATTTTATTAGTGTTTTAAAAAACAATAACAATAACTTGCATGCCTACATATTCACTATGTAGACCTCTTTCCAACTTCCATTTTTGCATGATATTGCCCTCTGCAATCTCTTAGGAAAAGGATTTCCCCACCATCACCTTTTCTTTTAGGTCTTGCCCGTGCTTGTATGCACAAATTTAACCATGTATATCAGAGGTGCACATTTGTGCACATGCTTTTACAGACTTGATCAGACCTTGCCGCCATGCACAGTGTTGAAAGAACAAACTAGGAAGGCCATCTCTGCTTTTAGACTCCACTGTGTAGAACCCACAGGGATGACAAGGCAGCATTCTTGGGGCACAACAAGGCCACAGTGCATTAAGAAATAAAAGCCTGTGGTTTTCAGTTCAGGTGTGGCAGTGACACAGCTTTGCTTTGGGGTAACTGTACTGCGTGGTGGCGTAGCCACAATACTTTTTAAAAAGAGCAAGAATGACAAAAAGATTCAGTGGGCAGGAAAGATTATCTGGAAAGCGTGTATTAGGAAGGGTACCTCCTCAGTGCAAACTGCCTCAATGCCACCATCACATCTGATGAGAGAGAAAAATTACTAATGAAATATGAAAACGATCCTTCACACTTGCCACTGCAGAAGTGTGTGTTGGAGTCTTGCCTCCTGTGGTGCATATACTTCTCTCTCTCTCTCTCTTTTTTTTTAACCCTCCTGCCCCTTGTCTTATAGGAGAGTGAGCATGGGACAAACCTGAATAGGAAGATGGACAGTCTGGGCAGCAACCACTCTATCCCCAGCATGTCTGTGAGCACAGGCAGTCAGAACAGCAGTGTCAACAGCATACAGGAGGTCATGGATGAGAGCAGCTCTGAGCTGGTCATGATGCATGACGACGAGAGCACCATTAATTCCACTTCCTCTGTTGTGCACAAGAAGGTATGTTCGCTGGTGCTCTCTCTCCCCAGTCTCAGGCAATCTCTGCTTTATTGCTCTTGCTGCTTCAGGTCTGTGAAGGTACTATAAGTTAACTGGCAGGGTGTTTCTCAAACAGCTGAAGGGAGGAGGTTCTGTGCCCTTTGCAGGCTTTAGGGCCGCTCCCAGTGTTTTCTGAAACACATTTTTTGAAAGTGCGTGTATCATAGTGCCCAGAAAATGAATGGAGGCTCGCATTTTTTTGGTAGTGTTTGGAAAGTGAAACACATATGTGTAAGATGCGAGTACCTTTAAAAAAAGTGAAGATGGCAGTGAGGAGAAACCACTGAGACAAAGAATTGACTTGTCCTTTTAAGAAAATTCTGTTTAATCTCTTCCCCTGCTTTTGCACCTCAGCACTGCATGTATACCTTTGTCCTTGCCTGTAACTCCTCCACCACCACCCCCTTGTGTTCTGAACATCTGTCTTACCCCAAGTGGTTGTCATGTTGGTTGAAATGGTCACATCCACCAAACTAATTTGATAACTTCAATAACTTCCACCCAAATCCAGACCTGCGCTTGGATTTTCCCCTCAACAGGTTAACAGTGAACTGGGTCACTCCCAGAAGGTATGTTCTTGGAGGGCTAAAATGTGCACGCTTGCTTCTCCTGTTTTCCTACATTACTATACACATTGTCACCTGGTCTCACTTGGCCATCAGAAATGATACATTCAGGAGCCTGTGACCCAAGGCAAAAAGAAGGCGTTAGCATTGAGACTTCCTTTGGAATAATATTTTTAGACTCGCTCAGCAGCAATTGCAACTGCACAGTGGTGAAATGAAGACGGTGTGCCTCTCTTCCTCTTTGAAAGAGTTTGAAAATTGTCTGTTGTCAGGTGATGCTTGTCAGGTGATGCACTTATAAATCCTGGCACGGTAGCCATGCAGCCCACCTTTGGGCCCAAGAGGATAAGAAGACAAAGGGAAAGGCACTGCATGCAGGAACAGAAGGACAGAAGACCTTAAGTGTACACTGAAGATAACTTAATTGCCCATTTGCAGATATTGCAGCCCTACCTTAGAGGCACCTTTGATTCAGTACTTCCAAAGAGAAACCAAAAGTCTTACACCTAATATTTTGAGATGGTTTAGAAGATGCTTCTGTTTCTGTTTGAAAGTACAAAAATGGTGTCTCCCTTGTGGAAGAGTTTTAATACTTCAGTACACATACATTGAGCAATACATTGTCTTCTGTGCACCCTTAAGAAGGAAAGGAAGAGCAGCACACAAGAACCTGCAGCACCACAAAACTTAAGTGCATTACAATAATGGTCCTAATCCAGTTACAGATAGGTAGCCGTGTTGGTCTGCCATAGTCAAAACAAAAAAAATTCCTTCCAGTAGCACCTTAAAGACCAACTAAGTTAGTTCTTGGTATGAGCTTTCGTGTGCATGCACACTTCTTCAGATACACTGAAACAGAAGTTGCCAGATCCTTCTATATAGTGAGAAGGTGGGAGGGGTATTACTCAGAAGGGTGGTGGTCCTAATCCAGAAACAGTCAGAGATACCATAACCCATTGATTTAAATGGGAGTTGAGCCTCTTTAATTGGCTCTGCTTGTTCATTTGCCTGCTGAAAGTTTGCAAAGTAGAGCAGAATACAAGCATTTAATGAAACGTGAATTAATAACGTTAACACCTTTTTTAAGAAGGGAGACAGGAAAGAAAATTATACCTGAGGGACAGTCAGCCATCTGAAGAAGGAAGATTAGTAATGTGCGAATTCAGTTGTCTTCATATAGACTAGGGATGTGCCTGTTCCAGTCATGGGGGAAGCTCTTGATAAATTTGCTCACCAAAGACTTTTGAGTAACCTTAGCAGTCATGGAATAAGAAGAGAGATCCTTTTCATGGAGCATTAGATCTTTAGGAAACCGAAAGCAGAGAGTAGGGGAAAATTGATGGTTCTCCCAGATCTACATTGGGACCTGTGCAATTTCACTTGTACATAATTGATCTGGAGATAGGCTGAGCAGCAAGATAGCCAAGTCCACTAATGATAACCAAAATTGTCCAGCACAATTAAAATAAATTGTGAGGAGCTCTGAAACAATTTTTCCATATTGGGTGAATGGGCACTAAAATGGCAAATGCATTTCATTGTAAAGTGAAACACATTAGGACAAAAAAAAAAACAAAAAACCCACCCCAAACTCACATATACACTGATGTAATCCAAACCAGAGCAAGACCTTGGACTCACAATGACCCAGTGTGAACCAGTTGTGAAAAAGGCAAATTCCATTCTAGGGGTCATTAGGAAAGGGATTGAAAATAAAACTGCCAGTATTTTATTTCCATTGCACAAATCTGTGTTGTGACCACACTTGGAATATTGTCCATAGTTCCGGTCACCTCAGCTCAAAAAAGATATTGTAGAGCTGCAGAAGGTTCAGAAAAGGGCAACTCAGATGATCAAGGGGCAGGGCTAGTTCCCCTCTGAGGAAAGGTTGCAACATTTGGTAATACATAGTTCAGAGAAAATGGGAGCAAAGGGGGGAGCAACAAGATAGAGGTGTGTAAGATTACAAATGATGTGGAGAAAGTGGATAGAGAGAAGTTTCTCTTTCTAATAATTCTACAATCTGAGGCCTTCCAGTGAATATTGTACTCACAGAGTATTTCCTCATCACACACTTGAAGCAGGCTTAAAATGGGGAAGAGAGGAATATGCCTTGGTATTCAGGTAGAGAAATGCACATATGCCTCATTCAGAGGACTTTTCAAAACTAGGATACTACCCCCATGAACAGCTAAAAGTGTGACACGTGCACTGGCTCAGGACATACTTATTACTGGAGAAATCTGAAACTGAGGCAGGTGTACCCCTCTTCCATGAAGTGGGAAATGTAAAGGTGAGGTTCTTCCTGGTTATGATCTGTCCACATCACCCAAGAAACTTAAATTTGAGACAAATGGAGTCTAAGATTGCCCTGGCTATTAAACAGCAAGGGAGACATTTCTACATCAAAATGCCAGTTTGGGCTTACCTCTGTTCTCCAATCCCTTTACCTTACACTGAATTTGCCCTTTTCACTGCTATAACACACTGAGCTGACATTTCTGGTGGGCTTTCTGCTCTGTCTCAAGATCTCTTTGGTGCCAGACCAATTTAGACTTAATCAGAGGTGCTTTGTTCTTGATTATATATGTGTCTATATGTGTGTACATAAAACCACACAGCATCAGTAATGAATGGTGCAGTATAAATTGCTGCTTACCCCCTTTCAAAACAAACACACACATACACACACACACAGAGAGAGAGAGGGGGGGGCAGGTAAGACATACACAGCCCAGCTTGCTTGCTGTGTGCTGATTTTAAATGGAAAATGTTGAGGGTTTTATAGAAGTACACATCTTCTCACATCTGAAATAGGTTTGGTACCTAGCTTAGTTGTTTGGGACTTGATGGCAAACTCAGTTCCTTTTAAGCTTAGGCTGAGACAAGGTTGGATGCAAGCAAGGTTAGAGCAAGGCAAGGTAGAATAAATGATAGAGCACCTGTTTTGTATACACAAGGCCAGGTTAACATCTTGGCATCCTGAGACACGTCAGGGAAAAACCACTTCTCCTAAACTGGAGAGCCACTACCAGTCAGTAGGCTACACTGAGCTAGATGGGCCAGGGGTCTGACTAGATATGATGCAGCTCCCTTTGTTTCAAACGTAAAGGTATGGCAGTAGAAAGGTGAAGGAAAGAAGTGTGGCCACAGAACAGGTGCAGAAGCAGTAGCTCCCCTTGATCAGACCAAGGGTGGAGCAGGGCAGAGACTGACCCTGGAGCTTTTTAAAAGTTTGCACCATCTGAGCAGCTAACTGGGAAATGCTGGAATATAAAATGGTTGGGGAACAGGCCTCTCCTCCCTCTTTCCACAAAGCCTCCTAACTGCTTAGGCATCAGCTTTAGCTATATACCTTATCAAGTGGCAGATGACAGCTTGAACTTTGCTCCCTCTAATAGCAATTGGAGATTCGGAATCAAGATGCTCCCTGTCAGTGCTTTGGCATCCAAGGAGCCTGTGCTGTTTTCCTGAAGCTCGCATGAGCAGCATCAAGGAATACAGTGGTGCCCCGCAAGACGAATGCCTCGCAAGACGAAAAACCCGCTAGACGAAAGGGTTTTCCGTTTTTGAGTTGCTTCGCAAGTCGATTTTCCCTATGGGCTTGCTTCGCAAGACGAAAACGTCTTGCGAGTCTTGCGATTTTTTTTCGCTCCCCCCCCCTTTTTCTAAGCCGCTAATAGCCGCTAAGCCGCTAATAGCGCTAATCCACTAAGCCGCTAATAGGGTTGCTTCGCAAGACGAAAAAACCGCTAGACGAAGAGACTCGCGGAACGGATTATTTTCGTCTTGCGAGGCACCACTGTAGTTGCCAAAGCTAGTTAAACCCACTGCCTGAGATCCCAGTTACTCATCCCCCTAGGCCTCAGAATTGCTCCATGGAAGAGAGTCAAGTAGATATAAAGACAACCATTCTGAGAAGAAGCCTAGAGGGATATAGGACTTAGGGTGGTTCCATAAATGTTCCTATCAGAAGGCTGTGAGAGAGAGAATGTATTCATGATTTTTGTTTCTTTGTGAAATCCAGGCTGAACAGAGGTCACAATCTTTGGGTGCTTCTGGTGAAGTCTTGTAATATTTACTCCCTTCACTTTGGCCTCCCCCGCCCCCCATCGTGCATGAGCCTGGGAGAAAGTAGTACACGCCCTTCATTCCTTAAGGGTGCTTATTTATTCAGGGAAAAACACCCCATTCTTGAACATGCAACTTTCCTTGTTCAGTTTAGAGGTGACGGCTCAGTATCGTACAATGACATTTGTCTATTAAGAGTGGAAATGGTACAAAAGAACCTAGGTATTGTAGAATTGCATATTAAAGAAAAGCATCAGTAAGACTGAATTCATGTTCATATTCCCAAATAAACTTTAAGATACTAGAAAATAAGGAAAAGGAATG